ATTATGATGAAAATTGTGTTCTATCGTATATTGGCATGTTGGGTGCAGTGAGTGGTATGGAGTTCGAAGAGGAGATCAAGGTTGCAGTTCGGTGTTGACAAGGAAGTCACGAGCTCGGATGAGCAGGGAAGTAGTTTCAATGTTTTAAGTAAGTTGGTGTTGCCTTCAGTGTCACCTGAGATCTGTGTTTGTGAAGAAGGCTTTGCATCCTGGTTAAGGATTCTGGGTCGCTTTTTAACATTAGTGCGGTCGGTGGTCTGGATGTACAGACCTGTCGCGGGAAAGTTGTATAAGTGTGACATGTAGTCACTTGATTGGTTGAAGAGTTAAACCAAGTAGGAAGATTATGGTAATATCGCTAATTTGAGAATGTATGCCTGGAGGGCACTCGATTTTTTTGGGTTGTGGAGGATTACTCCGGTTATGATGGTTGTCCTTATGTGTTATGAGAAAAAGGGAAGTATTTATGGGCCTTTGAGAGGTTATTAGCCTAGTTCAGTGCGATCAGAACCAGCTTGAGGTTTGCGGAGGGGTTTAAATGTGAATATGGGCTTTATATCAGGCCAGATATGTTCATTTCAGTAAGGCGCTCCTTGTGGAAGAGCAGTCAAAGTGTTATTTCATCGTCAGTCATTTCAACTAATGATATATTGTGCCGTGTGAGTTGTGAGATGGCTTGGTGAACTGCTTATGTGTTGAGGTTTCGCGTAGAGGCAATGTTATATGAGCTAAATGGCTCTTGAGATGCAGATCGTATATCACACCCCAGTTGTGCTTGAGTTTTGTAGCCTATGGCATTATATGTCTCCCCAGGGATGGTATTATGCACTTAGCGTGCTTGTGACCGATATTCGGTATCTTGTTGTAATGAGCAATTTAGCTCGATGTGTATCTCCTTATGTGAGTTTTATGTGCGGATCGGGTTGCACGCCGCAACAGTGTGATGATAATTACAGTCCCTTATATTATATTCTATGTGTTTTGTTTCTCCATTTTCTGAGGAAAGCTCATATTAGTTGCGTGATTTGAGTAGTCCCTTTCAGAGTTCGTCTTCCTTTTGTATCGCATTCGAATTGGTAGCCTATTGGCACATTGCGGCATCATATGAGACTTTTGACCATGTTCGGGGTGGCTTATTGCATGAGCAGTTCATACTGGGTGAGACGAGATCATTGGACTTAGGATCAGTGCAATCTGAATATATGAAGTATATTAAGGAGCAAAGACCATTATTTGGTTCAGAAAGAGGTGATGGTTCTTGACAGGAGTATAGACCCTATGAATCGTTGATTCGGCAGTTGGTTATGAATTTCTACACATCCTTCCATCGTGGCGGCATTGCGAGGGTTGGAACAGGACTTATATATGTCATGGGGTGCATTGTGAGCATCAGATTCGGGAAATGTCGACTATTATGACCAGAGAGTGTTATTATGGTCTTGTGAATGATGGGGTGCATGGTGTGAATTCAGCAAGGGTGTGCAGTCATGTTCTGGTACAGCGTGTGGTGATTGATACGGTTTCCATATGTCGAAAGCAGGCCTGGCAGAGAATTTCGAATGTTGAAACTGGGCTCCAAGGCTTATTTGCCTAAATGAAAGAGGGTATCTTTAGATTTGATCGAGCTGATGTGCCCAACTGAGTTGTGGTAGCACGGGTAGGTGCGCGAGGTATTAAGCAGTGATTCCAGACAACCCCAGCACAGTTCCTAGCACGTTCGAGGACGAACGTATGTTTAAGTGGGGGAGGATGTAACGACCCGATCGGTCGTTTTGAGCCCTAGCGCGCCGTTCAGCAGTTCGAGGCCATGAGCAGCTTCAATTCAGGCATTATGACTTGTACGCGTGGTCGGAATTAAATTTCAGGAAGTTCGGAGTTGACTTGGGGAGGAAATTCTCATTTCAGAAGCTTTAAGTTGAGAGAATTGACTAGGATTGGATTTCAGAGTAAACGACCTCATGCTTATATCCGGGTAGTCTAGGACCCAAAATCATGTTTTACTTGTGATAACTGTAACCTTATTGATAATTTAAATTGCTTAAATCATACCGAAGTGGCAAATAACTTTCTAAAAGAATTAAACTTCATCTTCTTGACTTGTAAAAGTGAAATTTACATCTCCTTGAATAATTGTTTCCCTGATGAAGTCTTCACTGACTGTTTGAATGTGTGTTTCTATGTGTACCTGCGTCGCATGTATGATTCGCGAGCAGGGTGATTTTTTATTGATAATTGACCGGGTCGCATGTATGATTCGCGAGCCAGGTAATAGATGCACCTATGGTTCGCGCCATTCGACCCTCTGGCAGTGCACAGTTTAAATATTATTGGATCGGGCCGTACGACCTCGGCATGATTTGCGCATGCTTGTATTGCTTGCCTTGATATTTATAAATGAGGACATTGCTTTCCCGGATTGAGAATAAATGTATAAATGATGAAAACGGATTTGGAAATTTCCCTATGAATAAAAGAATTGTTTACTTGCTCCATTCTATCGAGTTATAGCCATGTTTATAGAAATCCTTAATTTATTGTACAATTGGTATTTTATTATTGGACCACTAGTAAGTGTCGAAGTCGACCTCTCGTCTCTACTTCTTCGAGGTTAGGCGGGATACTTACTGAGTACACGTTGTTTTTGTACTCATGCTACACTTGTTGTGCATTTTTGTTGCACAAGCACATGTACCTCTAGTGGCCTAATGGACATAGCAATACGGATGATACAGAGACTTAGGTGAGCTGCATCCCTCGAGACGACCCGCAGCCAGCAGAGTCCCTTTCAATGTATTATATTTACTTTCTGTCCAAGTTTGTATTTCGGACAGCTATTGTACTTTATTGGATTTTCTAGTAATTGCTCATGCACTTGTGACACCGGGTTATGGGATGATTTCGGGATTGTTCAGTAGTTTTGTAAAGTTGACATCATTATTTATTCAGTGGAACTTATTATTTATTGTTTAAATGTATAAAAGAAGTGATCTCAGAAATATCTAAAACGAAAAATTTCTAGTTAAACGGTGTTGGCTTGCATGACAGTGGTGTCCGGCGCCATCCCGACCCTTAGTGGATTTTGGGTTGTGACATACTTCTTACCTACATTCTCTTCTTTTTCTTTTTCAGTATTCTATTCCATAAATTCTTCAATCAAGTAAAAGATAAATAATTAAAAATTTCGTAAAAAATGTGAAAACCGTAAACTTACCAAATTAACTTCCAAATTTTAAGTAAACGTCTATACTTCCAACAAACACATTACATTATATTATTAAAGGAACTAAAACATTCTATAATTTTGGAGAGTCGCACTTCCCAAAACATTAGCCTAGTCATTTTACATCCTATTTGAGTTGCTCTTTTTTCTTGTTTTCTTTCTTTTAATATTTCTTGGTCTATTGCTAGTTGCATTCTTTGTTCGTCTTTAGGGAAAGAAAAAGAAACTAGGCTTTTGTGTAGTAACGCATAGAACCATTGTTACCTGTATTGTTATTTATCTTTTGCGTTATATACATTTTAAATTTTCTGAAACGTATTATTATATCAATCACTTTGTAATACTTGTCGAAGTCTGACACTTCATACAAAAATTATACAATAATTCGACTACAATTTAGAGCATTCTATGTAGGTTTTACACTATTTTACAACAATAACAACAACAACCCAGTAAAATCTCACAAGTCGGATCTAGGGAGGATAGAGTATACGCATACTCTACCACTACCCAAAGGGGGTAGAGAGGCTGTTTCTGATAGACACTTGACTCAAGCCGATGAAAAAGACAATATATCAGTACCAACAACAGAAAGTATAAAAATAATAATAGCATCATAAGTACCAGAAAATAGATGAAAAATAATAACAGTAACAATAATGTAAGAAAGGCTCGGCAGGTTCTACACTATTTTATTTTAAAAAAAGTTCTGTCATCTGAATTTACTTTTTTATTCAAAGTTCACCAGTAAATAAATTCTCAAAAGACAAAATACCTTTAAATAGATCAATTCAATTACTCATCAAAGTAACCTCTCTCCCCGCAATCGATTCCGTAGGTTTACTTAGAGAAACACTATAAAGAAAGCAGTAGGAAGTACGCACAATTTCGTAAATACTGTTGAACAAATCTTTTCTTTGTGCTCGCAAAGGTCTTTACTTTACCTGAGCAGACCCAATATTAGGCTCACCCTTGTTCATCTTCCAGAAGGAAAGCTCCAGTATGAGGGCTTCCCTTTTTCATCTATGTACCGATGCAGTTATTAGTTCGGGGTCCTGCATCCAAAGTTACATAGTCTAAAGACAACAAAATATCCAGCACAATTTTGAAACCTCAATTTCAAACTTTTAGCCTTCAATGCCACATTGCATATGAAAAATTTAAATAAAACACCTTATGGTAAAGTTCGTTACTGAGATTTTTTTTTGTTGATCTTTCATGTGTAGTTTATCAAGTTAAATTTTTCAAATGTGAAAGTCAAAGAGTAAATAATATACATATATCATTGTATGTCAAGAAAGTGTAGATCTTGTTAATATGTGATTAAAGGGAACAAAAATGCCGAATTCAGCTCTCAAGTAAACATCATAGTTCTTCTATTTATGACACATTATCAGACACCTTGGTTGCATGAGAGATCTTGCTTATTTCTTCGTCATTTTTGTCCTAGATGGAAATTCATTATGCCCAAATCATGTTTAAACCTATGTAGAAATTTTTCCAACAAAGATGTGCAAATCAGACGTAAACAATGGAACAAATCACCATAGAGGGTAGTGAATAAGAGAAACCACCAAATACCCATTACCAACACATGTGTGCAATAAACAAAGAAAGACTGGAGAAAAATTCAGCAAAACTCCGAACGAAATATAGCACACACTAAAGAAAAATTGGAAAATTTTGAAAGGAAACTCAAAAAATAAGGCTAGAAAGTGTAACAAAAGGAACATAGTATACATAATGCAAATCTGGGATGTGAAAGTGAAATGCACATATATTCGAAAGGCAACTAATTAATTAGGATCAAATTCAGAAGTAGAACCAAATTCCATCAGTATGGTCTTAAAACTTGGGAAAGAAGAGATCGAAAAAGAGAAGGAAAGAGTTAGAGAGAAACAAACACGAAAATCTCTGAGTAGGAGTTCGTGTTTTATGGCAAATGAAGATACAGAGGAATATGAGAGAGATGAAGGAAATCGAAAAGACAATTCTAGACTGAGAGTATAAAGATAATTTTACCCTTGGTCGACCACACTTGCCTTTTCTATATAATAGACTAGATGCTGGCTGCCCGTGCAGAGCACGGGCCCAACGACCAACACTTCAACAACAGAATTTAGGATAAGTGGTCAACTTTGTTAATTAACACCAAATGCTATGTAGTAAGTTATATACATCTTGTAAGTTAGTCTAAAAGGTGCAGCCATTTGCGCCCTCGTGTGTATATCACAGATGCATCTTCAAATCTGTATTTGCATTCTCGTGTGTATATCGCAGATGCATCTTCAGAACATCAGTAGTTTCTTTCTTGTAGCTTGTCCATATTATTCAAGCAAGTACCGTATTCGAAACAGCCTTGTGTTCCTATCTTCCTTCCGAAAGCTGATGGTAGCGCCTCTTAGATCACCATGCATGATTCCATTTAACTACAAACATACATAGAACACTTGCATTCTTAAGTAGCTATGGTACAATGTAAAGAAAAACGTATGTCTTCTGAGTTACTGGAGCGAAGTTAAAATCTATTACATAAGGTGTAACCTTTTGTCAGACAATCTTGCACAATGTTGTTCAAATAAAACCAATAAATATGGAGAGGAGGGGCTAGAAGTAATGAGCCTATATACATTTCCATATAAGTTCAATTGCCAGTTGTGTGAGAGGAGGGCTTAAGGTTAAAAGCTTATAGCAAGCGCTAACAGAGTAGTTGCCATCATTATCCCTTTTCAGATTATTCTATGAAGTTCTATTGTAGGAAGAGGTATTGCATAAAATCCACAATATTTTATCAGCAATGCACAAAATGTCTTCATTAGTTATCCAGTAGCTTAGTTTACAAAGATAGAAGTTTAGTAGAAACGTAGTTTTAGTGAGTATTACTATATATTGTTAGTGTAACCATGTCTCTGAAAATGCCATAGAAGATTTTTATTTGACACAAATATTGATGCTTTCTCAACAAAAGAAAAAGTACACACAGATTGCTTATACTTATGTTCACAACCAAGGGCAACAACTGCACATAAATAGTTTTATAGTGAGTAATACCATATGTTGTCATTGTAACCGTACACCAGTTAAATGTTATAGAAGGTTCTTATTTGATACACAAATATTGATGATAAAGTATTCTTTCTCCACAAAAGAAAAAGTATAGTTAGGTTGTTCATACTTCTGTTCACGACCAAGGCAACAACTGCATAGAAATAGGTTTATAGTGAGTAGTACTATATGTTGTCAATAGAAGGTTTATTTGATAAATAAATATTGATGATAAAGTATTCTTTCTCAAAAAAAGAAAAAGTATGGTCAGATTGTTCATACTTTTGTTTATGATCAAGGCAAGAGTCACACATAAACATGAGAAATTACTAAGTTTGCCAGAACCAAGTTGGTACTCAGATGAATAAGTTAATAACAAGATTGATCAATGTAGGCGATAATACTACCTATAATATATCTGCATATGTTGCAATATATGCAATAATACTACCTACAATGTAAGTGCTACATAAGAAGAAAAGGGAAAAAACATCATTCAGTGTGTATGAGTAATGCTAAGTGAACATGTATTGAAGTTAGATATGTTTGATTTGGATTAATGAAGTTCCCTTTAGATAACACATCAAATTTTATTAGAAGAAAAGAATCCACAATCCATGAGATACTGTAATTATAGAATACCTGGCATTGAAAAGGTATACACATGCAACATCCTATAAAGAAATGAATGAGTCCCTTTTTAAAATAAAAAAAATATCAAACTTAACATGTACAGTGCCTTCCAGATGAAAGTGCCACAGAACCATCAAAGACAAATTGATGTTCTCCATATGGATATCCTAAAACGTTAGTCCATCAAATTAACCCTAAATATTATAATTGATCACCATAAGCATCCTAACTTTCACTTCTTTCATTTCATTAAATGTGCAATCAACTTGGCTTTGTCTTGACGATTAGCTGAAGAGAGGGTGGCCAAAGCCACGACCTTTGCATTACTTAACATTCTTCTTAGGATTTCCTGTTGTGCAAGGGGAGACTGTTGAATAAATCTTATACTATGTACCTAAACTTCAATAGGACCATCACAATCTAACAACGGGAAAAAAAGGCTTCACATTAATACACAATCAGAATTACTAAATGGCAACAGTGTAACATAATAAATTATCGTACCCTTTTTACTTTCAACTACAAAGAATTGTTTTAAAAGTACATCCTGACTTACTTGAAACAGTATCTTTTTGTCAGTTACCTCTCTTTGATACTCATATTTCCAACTTCCTCTTGTTACGTTTATGTGAACAAACGACCATAGGCTGGGTTTGGTGTCTTCCTTGGAGCTTTCTCTTGTTCCATCCTATCAAACATCATTTAGGAGGTAGCTATTAGTGGAGGCATCACCTTCCACGTACACTTTCAAAGAGACCGAAGAAATTTCGAATAAATAACATGAAAACATTTGTCTCAAAGATAACAATAACGATGAAAGGGAAATATATAAAATGTTTCAATAAAAAAAGTTCATCATTTTTTAGATTCGACGTAGAAAATTTGGAGATAAGGTATTATCTAAACGCTTCTTTTCTCTGACTTGCTCTTTCAAATAAAAGCGTAAATAAAGAACTTCATAAAAAAAAGAACTTCATCAAAAAAGAAACAGAATAGTGAAAGAAAATGCTCAAAAGAATCAGTAAGCACACACTAAAGATGGACAAGCCATATCATCAAATACCATATGTGCATAGTCTACTTCAATATTTTTTGTTTCTTTGNGATTAAACGAATTGGGGGCTATTCCGTGAATTGTTACAGCGGAGAATCTATAATTCAAGTTTTTTTGTGAAGTTCTATCTTCCACATCAGAAAGATTCCTTTTTGATAGTTTGATAAAAATTAACCCAAAATTAAAAGGGGAAAAAGTACCTTGGAAACTATAAGCTAGATATGTCTTGTGAAACAGAGATAGAGAAGAAAGCCGACAAAAACATAACAAAACAATAAAAAAGAAAAGAAGTACCTTAAGATGAAGAAGTATATAAACCCAGAGAAATTAGCTTATGGAGAGAGAGAGATTGAGGGAGTGCTTCTTAAAAGAGAGAGATATTGATAGAAAGGGAAAGATACGGATTATGCAAAGATGTATCTATGACCTAAGTAGTTGATTTACCAGTTTATCCCTCAATATATGCAAAATTTCGAAACTACCCTGGGTCGACCAACTTCTCTTTTCTATATAATAGAAAAAATTGTGACTTCACAATGCCTAGTTGGCAATCAACTTATCAAGATCTTGTCAGCCTTGTTTCATTGACCATGTTATCTAGAGGACCGATGAGCTTTACTCTATTTCACGTTGTTTTTAATCTTTAGAAGTCTTAATTAGAGAGTTAAAGAGGTTTTTTTTATCAAGTTCTTTAAATATCTTTTGAATATTTTAAATTCAAGTTCTTTAAATATTATTTAAATATTTAAATTATTAAATAATTTGATTTATAGCACTTTTTATATAGTTTTTATATATATCAAATTTATTTCCAAAAATCTAAAGAATTAAAGTCAAAATTAATACCGAAAATATCGATCAATTATTTTGATCCTTATACTCCGAATAACGTCAAACAAACTGGAACGGAAGAGTATGATTTATGCGGGAGTGAGAAGGTGAGCCATAACAAGACATATTGTTCCTTACTCATGAGTCATGACTCGATTGTCTCAAGTTTTACGGATAGGCAAAAGTACTGCTTATCACCTTGTCAACAATGTGCATAATGGAATTTTCCTCTTGTTTACCCTATAATTCGAATAACAATTAAACTAGTATTGTGGTTCTAAAGATATGTGATTTAATCCAATACTAACTGATAGACAAGGAATCAAGTGTATAAATTAAAGATTAAGGTAAGTCAAACCAACATATCAGCAGACCTCGATCTCGAACAATGACGACCTCGAGGTAGTTGGACAAGAACAGTAAAAAAATAAGAATGAGATTCAGATGAGCAGTAAGCAAGAAAGTAATGTAAGTATATTCTCTTGTCAATGATTGATGCGTTACAAATGATTGGGGTCCCCTTTATATAGTAGGGGAATCCTAAATAAGGTACAATTCTAATTGTAGTAGGGAATAATATTATACAGCTCTAACCGCCTAGTACGAATCCTTTCCGAAATTTATGCCGTGATCGTAGGGCCGCTGCGGGAATCTCGCTCTTTCTATTATGAAACCATAACGGTATTATCTCGAGGTCGGTCATACTTAGCCTCGGAGTTCATCGAGCACTTCGATCTTCGAGTCTTTACTCCGGCCTCGGGCTTGAGCCTGGTCCATTTCGAACTTGTTCTCAAAGTGACCCTCGAGAACACGAAATCGCTCGTACCTGATTTTGACTGTATACAGATAGTCCACGCATTTCTTAGAGTACAAATGATAAGAAATGATCCGATCCTCGATCCTCTGATGCCTCGATCATGATGTCAATCCTGTGACGTCAGCGACAAAAGTGATTGAAAGGTCGCGTCTACATAGTTCCCAAGGTAATTAACTGAAGGCGACTGATGGTCGGCCATTGGCTTCCCCAAACCGTTGAAGCGGCCACTATAAATAGGTCACTTTCTCAATCTTTACACTCTTTACTTCACAAACCTTTCCCAAATCCTCACTAGTTTCTTCATCTTCTCTGAGTCCATTGTCTCTTCAACTTGCGCTTGTTATAACATTAACTTCTTCTCTTCTTCCGAGTTTCTCAACAGTGATGGCTATACCATCTAAAATCGTTCTGCAGAAAGAAAAAGCCTCCTCATCATCACGGCCGGCCGGTGGTAGAACGACGGTGCCACCTCGTATCGATGAGTGCATTCCTGGGCCGTGCAAGCTATCTTTCGATTTAAAAATCGATAAGCCTACATCAGTTCCAGGCCGATGCGAACCCATGTCCCGATTCATCTACTCGATAACTGAAGACGATCTTGAGCAAGTGAAAAAGGATTGTAATTGGGAGGATAAGGAGGTGGTGATTCCTTCCCCCGAAGAGGACATCACCACTCATATGAAAGGATACTTAAGCGTGTATGTTTATCCTTTCACAGTGGGTCCCGTAGATCCAGCACTGGGTCCTGTAGATCCAGTCATTCTCGATTTCTATCACCAATATCTGGTGACACTTGTCCAGATCTACCCTTCTTTCTGGCGCATCGTCAATTTGCTCAGGTATTTCTTGGGAAAGGTCAAGGGGATGTCTTTAACCCACGACCACCTGATTAGGCTATATAGCCCTCGCCTCTATCGAGGTGGTTTGATAAAGCTCCAGCATCGATCCTCGAAGGCGCTATTCTCTAGCATCGATTAAGACAAGGACCAAGGATGGAAGGGCCGATTTGTCAGAATCAAGACCTCCGACTTAATTCCTATTGAAAGGATGCCATTCCCCAAGAAATGGAACATGAAACGTAAGTACAACCCCATTGATGATGCTTACTAATATGGTTTCTCTATTTCTTCTTCGATCTAATTCCTTTTTTATGGCACAGCTTCCCTTAGGTTTCTTGGTGCGGTTCCGTATCTCGAAGGTTGGGTTCGACAACTGGCCTCCACTTTTTCACATGCAGAACGCTGTTGGCGTGATTTGACCAAGGGTCGGTGGGAAGCTAAAAACCATGGTGAGTTCCCTTATTCATATGTTGACGTTTCTCTGTAGAATACTTACTTTCCCCTTACGCAGGCCTCGGAGACACTGTTGTTATGAGGCTGCCTACGCCAGGTGAAGAGGGAATTCCAAAGCTAATCAAAGAGAAGAAAAGGAAAAGGGCTTCGACAACAAGTTCCCCGAAGCCCAAGAAAAATAATGCTCGAAAGCCTAGGAAGATCCTGCAGTCCTATCTGCAGACGTGGTCCAACAACTTCGGGATGAAGAGGAAGAAGGAGAGGATGCCGACTGCTTGCTGGTAGCTCGGAAGAGGGGGAGCACTGGAGCTTCGAAGGTTGTCGACCCGGCGATGACTGATGCGGTTCAATCTCAAACCAAAGAAATCTTGGAGGGGAGCTCAAGCAGAGTCCCCGATCCATCGAGTGGTAAAAGCGCACCTCGTCTTGGAGGAGGGTGAGACCGAAGAGCCTAATTCTGAGGCCCTCCAAAGAGAAGAGAATGTCCCAAGTGAATCACTTGGGATGATTAACATAGATGAGTCGCCGCCTGACCCTGTGTTCTCTGAAGGGCAGTTCCGAGATGCCTGGGCCATGAAGACTCCCGACATGGGGACGACCCACGAAGGGAATGATATTTTTCGCGAATGCTTTGCGGGGGTCGAAGATGGTCCCGACCCGATGCTTTTTTATTTTTGAACTAGTAAGTTTCTGCTTTCATAATTATGCTCGTGCTTTATTCTCATTTTTCTGAGTCCGATTTCTTTTCTTTGAGTGAAGACTGTGACGCTCCATCGACAAGCGTTCTCCAAGTCTCGAGCCAAGCTTTCCCGATGTGAGGCCGAAATCAAGAATCTTGTGGAAGAGAGGGACGGCCTCAAACTCCTCTACGTTCAAAAAGAGGAGGAGATCAGGGACCTACGAGCCGACTTGACAAAGGCTCATCGAGAACAGACCGAGCTCATTGAGCAGGTAATGTAACTTTCTAGGAGTTTGTTATGTGTTTATCTGACTTAGCGGCTAACACTTCAACCTTGTAGGCCCAGCAGAAGGGTGAGCTGGTGGAGTAGCTTCGAGAGGAGATCAAGGCGAAAAAGGCCAAGACCTTGGGGTGGAAGTAGCATATGGATCGTCTTGTTTCGGAGAAGGACACGCTTTGGGCCCAGCTGGCTTCGGTCGAACGTCAACTTCAAAACGTGAAGGCGGAAATCTTGGCCCGGAGCCGAAAGATTAAGGAGCTCGAATCTAAGTCGGCCACCAAGCTTGCAAAGGCTAAATCTGAGGTGGAGGTGTTTGTGGCCTCTTATCGAGCTGACGCGAGGCTGCCAACATTCGAGCATAGGAGATCTCTACTGTTGCTGAAGTCAAATTGTCATGTGCTGTCGACCACGCCAGGCGACAATCCAGGAGAGACTCTCGAGGAAGTGCATGCACGTGGCTTTGACCTCTCAGCTGATATTGAAAAGGCAAAAGCTTTGGAGGACGAGGCTGCCGCTCTACTCTCCGATGATGAAGACTTTGCTAGTGGTTCCAAGAGCGGAGGAGATGAGGATGAAGTCCCCGAGGAGGAGGTTCTTGAAGATGTGGCTCCCAAAGATGCTGATCCTAAAGTAGATTAGGCCCTTGGGATTTTTTTTCCTTTTTATTATGTGTAAGGCTCAATGTGGGCACTGTAAATATTTTTCATGTATATAAAGAATTCCTTTCCTTTCCGCTCCATCTTCAATTTGTTGTGAGGTTTGCTTCCTTTTTGTTTTGTGAAGAATTAGTTTTTGATGTCATAACTTCAATAATCGAGTGAGCATCAGCTCAGACTCAAAGTAAAACAAACCCTTAGGTTTTTTAGTAATCGATGCGCTATCTTATAATAGAATACCTCTTAAGGTTTTTTGGTGAATCCTCGAGCTATGCTTAAGTCGATTTTGTGCGAGCTCGGGATGGTGGGACCCTTAGGTCCGAGTTGAGTGAGAACAAAGGTCTCGTACTCTGAATGTTTTTACCCTTAGGTTCTTTTAGGTTGGGCCGATATGGCCTTTAAGAGATGGTTATTATTTTTACTTTTCGGCTTAAAAGACTTAGTAAAAATTTATTTATGCCTTGGCATGAATCTTTTACCCATTGGGTTTTTTGAGGGTTTAGTGTTGATCGGAACCCTTTTGTTTTTTGTGCCTTAGCACAAGTTTGTATTTGAATATTTTGGTACCTCTTAAGGTTTTTCGAGAGCTGATTTTATCAAAGCCCTTTGATTATTTTGCCGAGGGTAGCCTTTATTAATCGGTTTTCTGAGAATTCGAAGGCCTGTTTTTATTGCAGAATTCGGACGTCTCCGAGCTGCGTTATTTCGTCCATAGCCTTTAGTATGGCCATAACCTTCGGGTATGTATCTTGAACTTGTTTCCCGATAACATTTCGAACAAGTTCCCCTGACTATGTTGGCCTTGGCCTTTACGTCGGGGGGTGCCTCTTTGAGGTCTTCAGAACT